CCCTAGCTCTACGCTAAATGGTCCTGGCATTATCATGGTCCCATCAACTCGCCAGGTGAAGAGCAGCCAGAGCTGAGCTATTTATAACAGTATTTCTGAGTGTGAGGTTGGGGATAAAGCTTTTTTCTCTTGGCGTCTGGTAGGCATTTATTGCAGGATGGAGGGAGAGGAGAGGGGAAGGGTGAGTATGAGAAATGTGGCAGGCCCATCTGACATCTTTGGGGTTCTTTTAATCCACTGGGAATTAATCTTTATATTAAGCCAGCTCCTCTGGATTTTGTGTGAGCTATTAGAACCCTCTCACAGTCTCCATCAGCTGCTTGATTACCCCACGTGTAGACCAACCCTTTAAGGAGTCAAAACAGGTGACATGTGTTGATGGATGTGTTGGTAGGAGATGGAAGCAAGCGTGGGAAATGGGCCCCGAAAGCCAAGAGGCAGTTTGAGTGGGCAGTCCCTTGGCAGAATTTGTGCCCAAGGGAAGAGCCGACTCATGGGTCTTGTAAAGTCAAAGGAGGGCCCAACAAGGATGGATACCATTGCTCTGTATTTAAGGTAAGTGATGGAAGCACAAAACTTGCGCTTAGATAGTCTCTCCTCACATGTGACCCTTTCTTCGCATTTGCAAGCCTTACCCTTCCTTTAGGTTTTCAATGAATAATGTCTGAAACGTCTGCCAACTTAGCCCTTTTTATGTTTTACTCTCACCCTTTAGACCACGTGGGAGGGAGGGTGGAGGTTAGCGCTACTTACATTTCCCCCTTAAAGAACCCCCTTTGAGACATTTCCCAGATGAAAAATCAAGACCCCTCGTGGTGAGTTAATATCATTCTCTTAAAAGGCTGCAGCAGCTGCAGTGAAGGTTTTAAATAACACTCTTCCCCCTTCTCCCCCTTCCCCCTTTCTCCCTGTAGAAACCGAACAGAAACAAGCAGGAGGAGAAAAATACCAAAATGTTAACAGGAGTTGCCTGTCAATGACTTTGCTCCCTTTGAAGTACCTTTTATTACTTCATTCTCAACAACAAGGATGAATTACTTTTATAACATAAATGTTTTAACAACATATGAACAAATTGAGGTAAAGGTAAAAAGCAGGAGCAGAAGGTGTGGGAAAAGGCTGGCGGGGGACAGTGTCAAAGGCTGGCTCACTGCTGAGCTGCCAGCCCCTTCCGCGCCCTCCCGCTTTTTCCCGCAGCAGACTCTTGTGAGCCAGTCCCTGCCAGTGGGACCCCAAGTGAAACCACACAACTCTGATTGGGACTTAAACCACTGTTAGTTAAAATTGCTCACTTCTTGTCAGGACTTGCTGAAGCTCAGGTTCTTTGTGTCTCATCGCAGAAAGAATTCAGAGACAAAGTGATAAGTAAGAGGTGGATTTATTTAGAGAGAGAACACATTCCACAGGCAGAAGAATGTGGTCCATCTCAAAAGGCTTGCGAGCAACCCCAGGGCGTGGGGTCGACTCAGAAAGTGAGAGCAGCAATGGGAGAAATACACTCCATAGACGGAATGTGGACTTTCTCAAAAGGTGAGAGCGCCCCAGGTTAGTTTTTGCGGGCTGTAATTTCATAGGCTGACTACAGTGGGAGGATTATTCCAACTATTTCGGGGAAGGGGAGGTGATTTCCAGGATTGGGGCCACCACCCACTTTTTGGCCTTTGATGATCAGCCTCAGAGATGTCACGGCGTGTCACTTAGCGTATGCTACTGTATTACAATGAGGCTCAAGGTCTGCTGGGAGTCAAATCTTCTGCCATGTCGGACCTAGTCAGTTTTAGCCAGTTTATGTCATATCTTCAAAGGCTCTTGTCATTCTTTTAAAGGTTGTGCCCTGGCCCCTTCCTCCCTGTTTCATGGGGGATGTCTGCCTGTGGCCTCCTGTGTTCCTCCCTCATTAAGAAAAAAAGGAGAAAGCCTCCTTTTCCTTGATAAGATGTTCTGCCTACACTGCTGGAATCTGCAGCTACCATGGTGATCCCATGAGCCTAAAGGCCAAGGCAGTGGGCTGAGACAGTGAGCCTGGGCCCACATTCTTCTAGACCCTTTGGGTGTTAAGTAACCACACACATTTGGATGTCGTGGGTCCAGTGGCCAGTTCCTCACAGCTGGGGGAACCTAACTCCAGGGACGTAAGAACAGTTTCCCTGACCGGAGCTGTTGTGCCCATGGTGACTGGGGAGATGTGAGGAGATGAATCAAACTTTCCTCCAAGGCAGAGAGAAAACAGCTGGTTTGTGACCCGGGAGCTCTGAGCCTCTGGCTTGGATCCTGCTGGGGGATGGTGCCCCGCCTGCGAGCAGCCCTCGGGGACGCGGTGGACACTCCTCTCTGGTCGGTGCCCGCCATCCCTGTCGGGCAGCGGGGCTGCAGTTGCACCCGCGGGGTGCAGAGCGGTGAGAAGGAGGCTGTGGGAGGGAGCCCTGAGGAGTCTGAACCTGTCTCACCTGTGGAGCTGTGTCTTCTCATTTGGGAGAAGAGAGGCCAGGGCCACATCTCTTTGCCTTTCATGGTTTACTGCCTGCCTATCATCCGAGAAGGTTTGTGTTACGAACTTGGCAAAAAGTAGTTTCAGAGTCTGATGGTAACGCCGTTCACTCTGCCCTCTCTGTAAATGAGAAGCTGGAAAATCTCTGGATTTTGGTAAATTCACAATGAAATGACCGGAGAGCACCCAGGTCTTGCTGTTCTTCCATGCCCCGAGGCTGCTATAATTACTTTATTAAAAATGAAGTGTCTCAAGGTTTCAGGACAAAAACT